TACATTTAATTCACCTGTGTTTACGATCAAGCCCATTTCAGAGCTTCATTTAACATCTCACATTAAATGAAAATTAAGTGATCACTCAGGTGCCGTGTTAGAGAAGCATACCTGGCAAAAGCCGCCAATTTTAGGAAAGGCTGGGTCAGGCCAAGGGTGAGAATCAAATGGATGCAGGATCTTTACACTTGAACTCTGAAATGGAATCCTCTACCCACAAACCCCCTCTTCCCATAGCAGACAACCCCGCTCCCCACCCCCGCCTAAACTTACTTCTCACATTCCCTCTTTCAGTGAAAGGCGTTAACCTACCTTAGAAACACTGGCACTGCCTGACCCCTTTTCCTGAGCCCTGACATACTTCCAGACAATTCCTGAGGCCTCACAAATACCATCTCTGGTTTAATTGGGGCCCCACATCTCAGCTCTTTTGTTTCCTTAACCTTCTAATTGGTCTCCTACCTCCAGTCACTCCCCTGCCAAAGTCGCTTGCACTCCCCTGACACAGGGACCTAACTACGTATGCTCATTTCTCATTGTGGCACTCCTCTGACCAAACACCTTGGCTGACTCCCGATTACCTTCAGCCGACTTTACAAACTTAACATAGAATTCAAATTTCTCCCAGTCCAGTTCATCTCCCGTTACACTCCCAGGCGTCTTACTCTTTGGTCACACTGGGAAAGTCACTGTTTCTGAAACACACTTGCCTCCATACTTTCCCTCCTGAGGTTACCACATCATTTCTTCAAAGCTGGTGTTCCTTCCCAGTATATCTCAGATGTTATTTATCTTAGCTTCTTCCCAGAAAGAATAAAGGCTGCTTCTCTGACCTTCCATAGGCCTTGTTATAGTCCACCATTACGCACTTACATTTTTTACCTGTGTAGCTGTCACTTGCAGTTGAAGTGCCAGCAATTTAAGGATCAAACACATTCCCTTAGTCTCACTTTATTCCCTAGCATAAAATGTGTACAAGTGGAACGTAAGCTTCTTGAAAGCAGTAGTCTGTGCCTGGCCTATAATAGCTGATTACGGAATATTCATTGGAGTGAGTAGTCAGTAAATATTTGAATTAACCAGGGCAGCAATATGTGGTTCAGATACAACCATTGCACTTAACCTCTTTTGTTGACTGTGTGTCATCACAATCCAGCTGTGGATGGCTGTGGTCTTGTGCCTTGTATCAGCTCTTGCTAATACCCAGCTTTGCAGAGAGCACTTGCAGTGCATCCGATTGGTGTGATTTAGTTTTGTATCAGGGGCTTGGATCACGTTTCTTTGTCTACAGTTTTCACAATCAGAATTGCAACTGGGGAAAAAAATACTATTTCATCATAATTCTTAATGAGACTAATCATTGCTCTTCCGTGGTTATTGTGAATTATAGCTAAATCAAAGGGAAGATTGGACTTCAGGGAAGTTGATCATGTGGTTAACAAAACTTTGCTTTTGAAATCCCTTTAGATGACTTTTTTCTTGGGCATATAGCTACACCTAGTGGCTTTATGGATTATTTCAGAGACTATTTCTAGAAACAGCTTCTTGGGTTTTTTCTCCCTTTATTTAACCTCTGCTTATACGGTGTCTTTTCTTTACTCTTAATTAATGAAAAAATATGTTTGACTCTATATAGATATAATCTCTTCCTATTATATGGATATAATCCTAGAATTCTTTACCAAATGTGTGTATGCACAGATATTCACACTTGCATTGGATGCCTTATTTATCAAGCACCCAAGAACAAATTCTGCATATATACATTTTCCATGTCATCAAACCACTTTTACATTTTGAGATTTTAGATGGAAATGTGTCTAGCATGTTATCACATGCATTTCTTCCTTTTAATAAAGGATATATTTTATAATTATTCTTACCTTGACAATTTAGAATCATAGTTATAAATACTAATTACTTTAGTGAACTGATGCCTTCAGGAGAAACTTTAGGGCTATTTTTCCTACTTTAATTTCTTTTAGATAGACTGCAATGCTTTGCAAAACATTCGTGTCTGTTCTTTATGGCCTTTCTCCCTTCTTCCTGGGTCATCTTGCTGCCGGTACTGTTTCTTTCTCTACCTTCTTCCTTTTTCTTACTCCCACCTTGGCCCCTTCCGATACTCTGCTTCTATTCTGCTGTGGTCTAGAGTCAGGTAACCACCTAGTTAATGGTAACCCAGTTCTCCTGGCTCCTAATTTTCTGTGTGCTTATACCACATCAAAGGTATATGCTAAATCCACACTGCTTTAAAGTAAGAGTAATTAGACTTTGAGAGAGGACATTGTCTACTAGAGTAAAATGCATAGGCTTAAGTGCTTCAGTTACTGCTGTTTTAACCTTTGGTCAGCCTTTGTTGTGTGATTCCTGCCCAGGTCGTTGAGATTCCTCATGTTTACAGACCCAGAGAATCAAGTCAGTCAGCAGATACTCATTGTGCATCTACTGTGCATCCAGGTGTACGGTGCGCACGAGCACACGTCATAGACTTCTTGGATTGCATCATACAATTGACAGAACGTGCAGGATTCCAGTACTGTGATAACTACTCACAATTGAATTCTCCACTCAAATAGAAAGCTTTATTTAAGGCTATTCATCATAACAATTTCCAGAGGGTCTCATTTAACTTTAAAACTTTATGACGTGTATAGTTAATGGCCAAATAATCTATAACTGGCACTTGAAAGAAAGTTGACTTTTCTTTCTTCTTATAGTTAATATGAACTCTAATGAAGCCATAAGGTGACTTATCTCCTCATAAATAGTAACTATTTTTCATGCATCATGCGGTATTAAATAAGAATGTATATTATATAGGTTCTAGGCAGTGCAGCTACCTTAAATGATAATATATTTAATTCCAAATATCTTTTATACATTTCTGTCATGTGTACAATCAACACTATTAAAGTTTTATAATGACACTTCATCATTTTCATGTAGTCCTATGTTTGATTTTAAATCAAATTTTGATTATTTACCAAGATAACTAGGGGCTAAACACAGGATTTCTTTAATAAACCAGGGCAGTATTGATTTATTTCATTATTTCTAAATTACAATATTAAGATGTATTTTGTTCAAGTAATCATTCTAATAAAGGAATTTTTTGCAGCCTGTAATTTCTAGATTCCTTGGCCTTCTTTTTAATGTACGTCTGTCTCCCTGGCTTCGAATCCTTGGGACGCAAATAAGAACGCTATTGGGCCATTTAGCACTCCAGTTGTCAAATAGTCAAGTGCCAGTGAGGGAGTCAGGCTCTGGCAGCCGAACCACAGGCGGCAAATTAACTAAGGCTTCCGCGTCTTCTCTGTGGAGCTTATCACTGGGAAGGTGACCATTACTTTTTCAAATTCAAAAGTCACAATTAAAATTTCAAATGCTTGCCCCTGCCCAGTGGTCGGTGACATTGTTAGAGTTCCACATCTTCAGTGTCTAATGAAGAGGTTCAGTGAGAAACTGTTTGTGGGAATATAACCTCAGTGACTGTCAGCTCTTTCCTTTGGATTCAACCATCCAATATCATCACAGCAGCTATTAAAATTACATTGAAAAAGGTTTAATAACAGGAAAATTCATGTGTTTTTTTTTAAAAAAGGACATTGTAGAAGTGTAGTACAATATCCCATTTTTGTTGAAAATATTATCTACATACACAACTGGAAGAGTATATACGGAATATTAATAGTGCTTGTCTTTAGGAGATAACATTATAGATGATTTTTCTGCTGTGCTTTTTTTTTTTTAGATTATCAGCAGTGAATTTGGATTATTCCTTGTCAGAAATGTTACTAAAAAATATTTTTAACTTCTTTCTATTTTTCCTCCGAACTGAAAGATAACTTTTCCCCTAACACTCCCTTACCAACCTTGTCATTCAGGAAAGGGGGAAGGGCACACAACTGATTTGGGATTCAGAAAATTTGTTGTCAACTGTCATTTAGTTTATTCAACAAATACTTGTTGAGTATTTATATTGTCCCCAGGCAGTATTGAGGATTCTGCATTAAACAAAGCCCCTGGGAGAAGATGGACAGTAAACAGATATTTGTCTTACAGTGATCAGTGCTAAGTGCCATGAAAATAAAGAATGAGAAAATTATTGACCGTTGGAGAGGGGAGGTTATCATTTATCTCTCTGGTGCTAAGTTCGTTCATCTTTAAAAAGGGTTAGGTCAAAGGAATAATGAAATCTTACCTTCTGTAACATTGTGATGCCTATGATTTTTGAATTACAGTTGGCTACCCTAAGTGATTATGTCATCCAAATGCAGAAATGAGTCAGCTTTAGCATTGAGATAAAGAGGAAATGTGTATCCTGGGAAGAGTAATTGATTAATAGCAAGAATTTTGAAAAAAAAAAAATCAGTGACATTTTCTTAACTGTTCTTATTATAATAATGAAGATCACAGATGAAGATCCCAGAGCCTTAAATATTTACCCATTGTGGTAAATAGTACCAAAAAAACCCACCATATAGTATAAAAGAAATTTATCTTAGGTAAATACTGACCTTTCTAAGACTGGGGCTTGTGTACGAACACATGAAAACCCTAAGAAACAAAAATTTGATTTTAGTTTTGTTTTCCCAAAAGGTTTATATATTCAGATCTCATTTGCATTTTCATATAGTCTGGTGATATGAAATATTGGGGACACACCAAACATGAAAGAAATATATATTCTTTCGATTTTGTGTCAGAAGGCCAAGAGATCAAATGGGCACCCATTGCAGAAATTCCTCTTAGATGAATAGTAACTTTCTAAAATGCATTGTCTTGCTCATCTCCTGCTGTTCATGGCATTACTTGCAGTTTGATGGCCCCTTTTATAAAACTTTACCAAATATAACTAATTTTTTGTCACAGTACTGCCTAAAATCGGGGCAATCAAAACCATTCTTTCCTGAAATAGGGACATTTTGGTGACGTTTATCTTCAGTTGTATTCCAGAAACTTCCTGTGATGCTTCATACCATCTTTCTTTCTTTCAGATATCCTCTGGCACTTGCAGGCCTGATGTTTCAGAATCCCCTGAAATGCGTCAGAAGTCACCATTATTTCAGTTTGCTGAGGTAATAAACTTAATGAGGAACTTGTAAAGTGAGCTTAAATTGGGGCTGATGATGGTCACTCACAGTAATGAACCATAAATGGGGAAATAGAATCAAATTTTGAAACTCCAGAGTTACTTTTTATTGATGGGTAGGTAAGTTAAGAATATAATTGAATAATTAATGCTAGAACTTAGTTACTGATCAGGTGTTAAATAAGAATCAACTCATGGTTGGTTATTGGCTATGCATTTTTTTTTTTGGTACACTTTTCTTTTAATTGAAACTTTCGCATTCAGCGGCAGTTTTCAACGTCTTACTGTCTTGTGTCAGATGTATTGGACTCAATATGTCTCTAACATTGGCTCAAAAAGATGATGTAGAAAAGCACATTACCCTTGATATCAAGTGTAAAGGATAAGACTGCTTCCCAAAATATCTTGACTTACCCCAGAACTCGATATGGAACCATCATTGATTAATTTTTTCTGAACTTTAAAGCACATGGTCTTCCCTTGATCATTTGAATTGTTTTTCACTAGACCTTCTAGCACTGTCACCCTTCCTAACATTTGCCTGTTGTGTAACAGCTTTGTACAAGGAGAGCATATTTTTAGTTTCAGATTTTCTTTCCCCCTCTCTAGTGTCCTTTCCTGGTGGTTCTCAACATTTCACTGGCAAAACTGTTTTTCACAGTGGCATATCAGGCCATTCCTTTTAAGACATTGTTTAGAATGTGCCTAAATGCCTTGCAGATAGCACAAGAATGTCATATATTTGCTGACATGATACTCCTTATCTATCGCTTTCTTTCCTGCCTCTGTAGGAGGTGTGCCATGAATTCCAATTGCTTTATATACTGTTTCCTCAAGAATTAATGTAATAGAGGATTCACTCTGTATCACCTTTTCTCACAATAGTTACTGACATGTTAAATAATGTTGGTCCCAACTTTGAAAGCAGAAATGTGTAACCATTGATCTCTGAACCCCTAAAGATCTAATGAAATCTCTAAAATTTTACATGAAATTGCATTGTATCGGCATATGTACATTTTTGTGGGTTCTATAGCATGTGGAACATTCCCAACAGATCCCTGACCCTGTTGTTTTATGTAAAGCACCCCCTAATCTATTTCTTCAGTAGCTCACTGTTGATAGCATTAACTGAATATCTCTTTTATGCAGTATTAATTTGTAAAACAGCTTTTTGTTTAGAAAGGAATGCTGTTCAGAATCCTAGATGGTTTTATGCCACTGGCTCTGTTTTGCTCACCATCTGATTTAAGGCTTGAAGAAATAAATATATTGTAGGTTAGGAATTTTCCCTTACATAAACTGCTTATCTTTTCTAACTTTTACAGAAGGTTGGTAGGAATGAAAAGTGATGTCTGAAGTAAGACCTACTCAGTGTATAGTTCCCGGGACTTCAGGAAAATCCTCATGGATTCATTTTTGTGTTCTGTCACAACTTGCACATGGTAGTCTTTTGAAATGATAGGTTTCATGGCTCGACCAAGAAGAGCTCTACAATTTCACCCTCAGATGTCTGCAGTGTCTTTAGAACACTTGGATAAATCTTACCCATTTATGATAGTTTGTTTATATCTATTATAGTTTGTTAAATAGGATCTCAGAGATCTTTTTTCTTTTACTGATATTTATTCTAAAAATGCTTATATGTCTGATTCAAAAGTTAAGGTGAAATTAAAATTTTCTTAATGGCTTCAGCAGTGAATAAAGTCAATAATTCCATCATTTTTCCTACTAATTCTTTCTCATCCCTAAATATCACTTTGATACTGGTTCCATTGTTTTTCTAATCAATTAAGATGAAAAAATAATTTTTGTGGTTGAAGAGTTATGATTAAGGTGCATTTTTTGCCTAGTTAGTATTCTTTGATAGAGTGAGTGAGCACAGTTAATTGAAGAAAAAGACTTTTGTTGGATTGGGAGTGGGCTGAATTTATATTGTCCGGGCTTTCTGCTCTTGTGACTCACTTTAGCCCTATATTGTACTGGATAGAAGCTTGTTCACTTTGGAACCAGAATTAATAATTGACCTTGCTCTCAAAACATGGTTGGAAAGTTTTTTCACATGGCCCTCAGAGCAAACTAATGAGGCTACCATACTTACCAAGTAGAAACAAAAGGTCTCCTAGTGGAACCAGGTGTGTTGCAGAACCTTCTATGGACTGTCAGACAAGTGAAGTGTGTGTCCGTGTGTGTCCGTGTGTGTGTGTGTGTGCACATGTGCACACGAGCATTGAGCCGGCGGATGCATGGTGTTATAAAAGAAAGAAATGCTGCTCATATTCAGTGCAGTTTACTGAGTTCTAGTGCCATGCCAGGCAATGTATTCTGTGGCTTGCTTTCTTCTCCCCATAATCCTATAAAATGGAGATTATTATCATCATCATCAATTTACAGTTTGGAAAAAATTAAGTCTCAGAAAGACTAGCTGAGCTGCCCAAGGTCGTGTAGCTGTTGAGAAGCAGAGCTAAGATTCAATCCCTGATACCCTGACCCACATCCATGTGCTTCTCCAGTATTCACAACTGCCTCTAAGCAGACAACAGCTTTGAGGGAAGTGGTATAAGGAAGAGAGAAAGGGACTGGCTTTCTTTGCAGCTTCCAGCTTTTAACAATATTTTAAGAAATTCATTGAAATAAGGAAATTCATCTCAGCAAGTCTCAACTGCTGTTTGACACGTACCTGGTAGTCTTACAAGAGACATGACAAATGAGCCAAACTCAGTCTTTTTGTTCTTTCCGATGATCTGTTTTTAGAAACATGGCCTTTGTCTTCCTTTATCATTTATACCGTTTTTCTAAAAGGGATTGAGGGTGATGACTCATGTCTTAATCTTTATCATTGTCTGCAGTGGAAATATATGGCAGAATCTTTGTAGTTAGATATGGGAAAATGTCCTTGTGCATTAAAAATCACTTGTTTCCTTTCAGATATCTTCAAGTACATCCCACCCCAGTGCTCCTTCGAAACAGTGTCAGGCGTCAGCCCTGTTTCAGTTTGCTGAGGTATGGTCTTTTTCTTACTACTTCTTGGGCTCAGAAAACTTACTGAGCTCAGGAAATACTGGAATGAACTTTGAATAACGTGTGGTGAACGTTAGGCGTGCCTCTCGCCATGAGGGACGTGACACACATAACCAAATACTTAACCACTTCGCTCTTTCTTTGCTGGGATCATAGATCAGGTCTGTATCTCATACCCGTCTTCTGACCATTACAGACTGCATTCAGAATAAACACTTGCCAGTCATTCTTTATTTCATTTTGCCTTGTTTTTAATTTATTTTTAAAGCTGGGAAAACCTGCTGTCTGGTGAAGGCCATAGGATTCCAATTTATTAAATTTTTCCAATAGTGAATTAAATGCTATGATTCATGAATAACTCATAGCGAATGCAGAGGTGAATCTGACCTGTTAAATCAGCCATGCTGAGCGTTCGCAGTGGCGTGGTGTCAGCCAGCATTTTTATTAGTGTTTAATCCCAGGCTTAGATCAGGTCAGCCCTTGCAGGATCTCAGATTTCTTTGGTTTGTCAGCCAGCGAGAGAGAGCACACACTAGAGAGCGTTTTCTTGGTTGGTATGATGAGAACGCATATCTGATATGCTTGATTTTGCCGCAAAAGCCCTGGCTTCCACCATATGCTCATTTCTAATGAGTGCTCTATGGCACATAATAAAATGTGTATAGTTCAGGTAAATAAGATGCTGTCTGCTTTAGGTCTTCCTGTTTTTCCTTTTTATTAATTCCAGCAAAAAAAAATGCATATCATAAACTGAGCAATTTTGTTATGGGGTTGAAAGAAAATGACAGGCAGGACTGTTCTGTTTAATATTGATGTATTGAATCACTTTGATTCATTTGAATAAAGAGTGCTGCATAAATGAAATGTAAAATGATATCCTTTTGGCAGGAGAAAACCCAACATCTTACTTTGAAAGTGCGAAAAAATGGCTTTCAGCTCTTACATTAAAAAAACAATGCTGCTTCCTCGTGGGACTGTGTCACCTGCTATGACTTTGTACCACCAGTTGGCCGGCTTATCTGTTCGGCCTCACTGCCACCATGCTTGCTTTAGCCATTGAGGGCTGCGCTAGAAAACTGGTAACAACAACATAAAATGTTATCATTTCATGAAGAACAATTTCCTTGATGAATCTGAATAAATTAAGACTTTATTATAATTTTTCATTATGATAAATAGGCTGTTTTCACTATCTGGGGAAATACTTTTGTTTAATATTTCCTTGCTTTCCTTCAGTTGACACCCATTCATTTGCTACTAATCACTTCTTCAAGAGTTAACAAAGAATTTTGACATGAGGACTAAGTTTATCTCTAATCTTGACACCTGAGCCAGTCCCATTCAACTTTTTAGAACATTTCCTTACAAACGAAATGTATTTGCCACATACTTGGTTTGATTAAACTCTGCACCATGGCATGAATTTTAGAAAGGTCGTGGCTTGACTTTGGCACACCTTCTAGTTACGTATTAACTACCAAGAGCATACAAGTTAAAATGGCAGTGTGGGGCATCTCAGCGGGTGCTGGTGCGTTTCTAACAGTGATGGCCGCTTAGAGCGTGATTGTTCTTTAAGCAACACCATCATCAGATTCCTGAGGAGCTTCTGAGCCCTGGGCAGCTCTGACGGAAAAGTGTGATGCTGTGCTGTGATCCTGGGGAATGAGATTCCGTGCCTCTCTCAGACAAGTTAATTTGTCCTTGCTGCTCAGGTAGTACTCTCACTCCTCAAAGCACGAGAAGATTCCTTTCTAGGAAAGAAAAGAACCTCTTCTTGCTTGGGAGTTGTGCAAGGAGGCATTTCCAGATGTCAATCCTCCACTTGGTGGCACTTGTATCCTGAGGGCCTCTGGTTTTTGACCGTGGGACATATGGAAAAATTGAGGAAGCATTAAAAAAAAAAGTTGATTTGGAAACTTATTAGGACTTGTTTCAAAGTATTGTAGCAGAGGAAGGCATGCGTGATGGAAAAACCAAAATAATACGTTTTGCCCTAGAATCAGATGCATTTCCCCCTCCCAACTCAGTATATTATTTTTCTGAAAGTTATATTTTGCCTAGGTTGATAATATGAGCCCGTTTAATTCCCGAGCAAATTAAGTAAATTATTACGTACCTCGTTACTGAATTGTAAATGTCATGTGATTATGCAAGAGAAGTACATGGTTCTCTAGGAAGTATAACCTCTCTAAGTCGCTTTCCTCATCTGACCCAAGAGAATCCTGAAGTTCGATCTTTTAACAGCTTATAAGTTGATCTTATTGTCATCCCAGTACTGGGCTGGTTTATTCAAAGCTAACTAAGAGCTAACTAGATGAACTAATAAAATTATCAAGTAAAATCCGCTATGAACATACATACTGCAGTAGAAATAGAATAGGCTATAATTACTGTGATCATATCCCTAAAGTGCTTATAATTCTTCATAAAACACCCATCACCTTTGAGAAAACACAAAGACTCTTGAAATTCTTGTTCTAATAATTCGATAGCAGAGGTTCTCAAACTTTAAAATCACACCAGAGCTACCCCGAAGGCTTATTCAAACACAGATTGCTGAATCCCACCCCAGAGTTTCTGATTTATTAAGTCTGGAGTGGGGCCTGAGAATTCGCACTTCCAAAAAGCTTCCTATCAGGGAGCCACAGTTTGAGACCACTGATCTACATATAGTTTATAATATTGACCACAAGTTGTTAAATCGTCATTGTTAAGGCACTTCCTAGTATTTCTGGGGCTTCATAGAGAAAGGATGAAATGAGGAAGGGATGGGCATATAATAGAAAATTACCCAGTGGATCTTTATACCCCCAGTTCTTTTTAATGGGATTCTCAGTCCTATTTGTACACTTGGAGAAAAGTTGGCATTTATGTAATTTAGGGATCAATGTACTATTTAAAAATGTTTAGCTTTATGATATAATTTTAAGATCAGGCATGCAAAATTTTTGGAGACCACTCCTACTATAATAATTCCATTTATACAGACACCAGTAACTCCAGGAAGAGATTAGCTAGATCTTCTCTTGGAAATGCGTCATTTATTGTATAATATAATTATCCTAGAAAATAGCTTTTTAAAAAACAATAAGTCCTGGGCATTTCTTTAAGTTGAAAATGTTTTTCTTTCACATTGAGTCTTAAGTCTCTGCCTTGCAAGCTAAGAAAAATATTTTTCCTTTTTAACAAAATCTGTAAGCTTTAAAATTCATTGAAGTTAACCTATATGTAGCCATGAAACTATAGAATAAAGAACATTTTTGTGTGTAGGTTCCTCATGAATGCTTACATCTAAAGGGAGAAAATATAGATGCTTTTAAGATCCAGGAAGAAATGTACAGTGCAGGATCTCTTTCCCCCCATGTCAGCCTGTCTCCCATTCCTTTCTTTACTGATACTAATCATTCATCTAGATTCAACTCGGCCCTTTCGAAGAGCCATCACTCTGTTTCTAGGCTCTTATCCATTAAATTGGTCAGAATGAGTTTCCTATCTGCATCTTTTGTTGTTTACAGGTAGAATGACACATCCATCATTTTTTAGATTTCATTTACTGAAGACTAATGACCAAATATAATGCCAGAAGGGAGCTGTAGTCCTCCATTATTTAACAAATCTGAAAGCCATGACCGGCCTACGTATTCTTTGCTCTGCTCTGTGGCCAGCTTGTACACCTAGAGTACGTCTTTGTATTGAAAAATTACATGTTTACTTTGAAGACAGGGGGCTAATCTAGATGATCTAGACAAATAGATTTTGATATTACAACTTTTTTTAAAAAGGTGTTTACTTTGCCAATATAAAAACACCAAATTTAAGGCATTATCACAAGGAGATATAAGCAATAAGTACATTTGTTGTCTGAGGCATTTGTTTTCATGATGGAATGCTCAGAGTGTTACAGAATATTATAGTTGAAGAAAACACCATGCACTCACACTGCAACTAATTTATGTGAGAATATTACATGTTTTCTTGGAAGCACTAATATTTCTTGTAAAGAAGACCAATCATCATCTCACATTATTCGTTCTTTGTTTCACTTATTCGATAATTATTGGTCACTTCCTCCTTATAATTGCAGACTTCCACTATTACCTAATTTGCTTTTTGATCTTTACCACCTGTTTCCTTGGTGCACTCCCCTACCTCAGGCCAGCCATAAACTTAGCTGTTTAATAATATCCAGGGTGATGATTTTTTTAGCCCTTTTGCTGTACCTCACTTACTGTTACACCTACCCTGTTGATCAGAACATTGACTAATAACCAAAGGAGAGACTACAGTGGAGTTAACAGATTGGCAAGCACCGTCAATTCAAGACAAATAAATAGGAAAGCCAGGAACATGCTATGCAGTATGGCCCCCTAGAGCCCCCTACCCAGGAGTGGAACATAGTGCTCACTTCCCTCTACTTGCTGACCAGCCATTGAAAAACATACATTAACTCTATCGTTTTTACTTAAAAGCGTGTACCTGTCTTAAATAGAAAAAAAAAAGCGAGGGGCATGAACAGTGGTGTAACACATTGGCATTGTGTAAGCTATGCTTCTAATTGAAGCTATCAGAGTAGATTAGGTTATGGAGAGAAAATGTGTAAGTAAAAAAAGAGAGGGCTGTTAAGGCAAAACCCTGAGGAAAAACACATAAGGGATCACTATGGAAAGGAGAGCCAGCAAAGGAGAACAACAAGGAGTGGCCTCAGAGGTAGAAGGAAAACAAGGACCCTGTAGTCATGGAAGCCCAGAGAAGAGTTCCCCAGAAGGGTCAGCCATGTTGAATACTGCAGAGAAATCAAGATACGGCTTAAGCCATAGATGTTAACGTCTGTCTGGTTTTCCACGCCCCCACCCCAATCGATAAGCCGAGGACATTTTTAGAAAGCAAATCTTACCACTAAGTCATTCCATGAAAATTTTATCGTTCGGTGATTCTGTAAATGTTGGACTACTAAAATATGTTGACCCTCCCCACACATGCCCCTTTGGCAGTCAGGCTTCCAGCATCTTTGAGCATTTAAAACATCGCCCTGTACCTAAAAATAGGTAAAGGTCCTGCCTTAGGCAATGAGGAAAATTGTTCTTACTAAACGTAGGTGGTTCCCTTTGAAGGGCAAGGAACCATTCTCAAGCCTGGACTCAGCTGTGCTTGAGCTCAAATGGCAGATAATACATTCATGCCCCCAGTCGTTCCTCATGGAGCCCCTCAGGGGGCCGTATACTGCATTAGGCACAGAATGTATGATAGTGAACAAACATAAAGCATCAAGGAGCCTAAACCTACAGCAACAAAAGTGACAGCAGAGGGAGCCAGTGCAGGAAGTAGAAACGGTGTCACAGGCTAAGCAGTGCAGTGCTACCCAGCTTGTGCTTCAGTATGGTGTGGTTATGTGACAAATTTAATATTCTACAAATTATTAAATTTAATTATCCTCTGACATTGCAGTTTGTAATTCCCTTCCAATTTCAGTGTGTAACTAATTTTTGGAATTATACTAAAAGAGGTTATGTTTATTAGTGGAAATAATGCTAAATCCTTATTACTAATAAATGCATCCTTTATTGAGAGCATAATATGGGCTCAGCATTGTGCCAAACTCTTCACTAACATAAAATCTAATCTTCATAACAGTAACACGGGGCAGGTAGTATTGTTTCTATTTTGAAGAGGAAGTAAATGAGGCTCACAGTCTCCATTATTTGCTTAGGTCCACACAGTAAAAAGTTAATGAAGGCACATCTCTCTGTCACAAAATCCATGTCTTTATATCATATAGCCTTGGGCCAAGGACTGGCATTACATGTTCAGTACTTCATTCCCTGGAGTCAGAGAGTCAGTGATTATATTAATGTGTTTGTTTCTCTTAGTCTAGTGATAAGGTGAGTAATTGAATTCAGCTTGTCTAGAGAAAGCAGAAGTGGCATCTATCAGAAAACATTCAGCTAGGGCAAAATTTCCCAAACTTCAGAAAGATTGAGCCCCATAAGTTCATCTTTTAAAGAAAAAGCAAGTGATTGGGATGAATAGGAAAGGACTCTGTTAATAATGATAGTACCTAGGAAGTCCTTAAAGCTTTCTTAAACTAGGCCCTTCTAAGTGGCCCAGGTAGCTTATTAAATATTTGCCTCTACTGAGGCCTCTTATGCAGCAGGTATTCCATGGAGAATTCTCTGTAGTGTCATAGCACCCAGTCTCTCCGGAGCTGACAGCGCTGTGACTCCCCTTTGGGACTAGGGTCACTTGTAAGGACATAGTGACAGGTAAGAATGCCATCTAAACTGAGAAAGAATTCAGAAGCACGAAGACTACAAAGAACTTAGATTAGAGCTAACTAATGACAGAACTTCTCCAGGGGAAGCATACTTTGTAAAGATCCTTAATGTATGTCCTTCTCACCGCTTTACTAAGTTAGGCTAGAAATTGAAAATGAAGTTTTTATATAAAAATGAGACAGGACAGTGCTGTTCTTTGTAATCAATGCCTGGCTGCTGCTTAGCCAAATTTGCAGAAGAGTATGCGATGTGATGTATATATGTTGATGTACTGCAACAGAGGCCCTTAATTACAACTTATTTAGATTTGTGGTCTTGTCAGTCTTTGTGTGTACTTTAGAGCATACTCGCAAAGCCAGAGCTAATGTTTTATATAAAATTCTGAGCTTCCCCAGCTCCTGGCATATTGCCTAGCACATTTATATTGGATTCTCAAAAAACGTATCTGTTGACTGACTTGATGCTCTTTCCACAGAGCTCTCAAATATAGTCCTTAAAAAAATAATAATTCATTGCTTTGTTAAATACAAATTGACTCTAAATAGCTCTTTTATATTTGGCCAGTTGATGAGTTAGTATTTATATAGAAATGGAAATGCATATCCCCTTTTAAGGTTATAGAATTAAATTTAAAGCCTGGAACATATAATACTCTTGTCATTAAATGCCCACCAAACTCACACCTGTTTTTTTGTTACTATTTTTGAGGCTATTTACTACAATTGGTTTCAAAATTATAATCCCAAGCATGCCGCATTTAGTTACTTGGTACTTGGGAGCAATGATGTTCTCATAAACCAAGGAAAACTCCTGAATGCGTATGAATCGGAAGCAAGGATTCTGATATCACAATTAATATTCTTTGTGTGAATTGTTTTCAATATAGATTTCTTCAAACACTTCGCAGTTGGGTGGTGCTGAACCTGCAAAACGCTGTGGAAAGTCTGCACTCTTTCAACTAGCCGAGGCAAGTTTCTGAGAATATATTGAGATGAGCTATCTATGCAGAGGTGGAAACCCCAAAAAACTTAACAGTGTCCCTTAGACTGCCCCATCTCACCCTTGACCTTTAAGTGTGTTGTAGCTAATTTTCAACAATGACAGGAGGGTTAGCCTTTAATTTAGAAAAAAAAGAGTTTTGCTACTAAAAGGCATTAAGCATTGAAAAAGGTTACCCAGGGAAATTACAAAACCCTTTTCACAGGTAGTATTTTAAAATAAGGTCAGCTTTGTCTCTCTCCGATTGGTTAAATAAGTCCAACCTGAACCCAGAAGAATAGCCCAGGTCAGTTTCCTCTTTGCTGATTCTCTTATGACTTCTATAAATCCCTAGAAGGCATCACTTTTAAACCAGTTGGTTGATGGTTTAATTTGGGGATTTCTTTTTTCTTCCTTTTTTTGGTAAAGAACTCAAATGACCCTTTCTAAAGTCTGGTTTTATAACATCTATCACTTGTACATTTGATGTGATGTGGGTATAAAAGTCCTTTGGCAAAGTAGAAAATGTGCTTTCATGAAGCCTGTGAGGGACAGAGCCCTCACACGATGGGGGATGGGTTGGGAAGGAAGATGCCAGAGCCGTTGTCGCTAGGGTGGGCAGAAGCAGGGATAGCTCTGCCAAGCTGTGACCGCGCTGCCTTAAGGGACCGTGTGGAAGAAATGTCTTTAGCACCAGGATACTCTAGTAGCAGTTTTCTCTTTCGGTGAGACAAATTAGGAGGTACCAAAATGAGTGACCAAAAATCTCTTACATTAAACTTTTCCTTTTCTGTCATGTTTCTGGCTTTCTTCCCCTGAGTTCGTTCTGTTGTTTGTTTGTTTTTTGTGAGCGATATGGTTCTTTTATAAACCCTTTGTATTGTATTTAACTTAATGGGGGTGACCTGTCATTTTTTATGGTAGATTTTATCATAAAAATTTAGGAGTTTGAACTATCTTAACATTAAGCTTTTAAAATCTAGCAAGATCCAAATTAGAAATATAAAAATAGAAATGCCCCAAATAGTAAAGAAGTATGTAAACAGCGGAACAAACTAACCCGTTGTTGTCTGACGTTAAGCCGACATGCTTCTTGTATAAGACAAAGTCAGACCCAAGTAGAGGTCTACAAACGACTAGAAAACACATAAAGACCTCAGGGAATAGTTTTTAAAAGAGTCAGCAGCAAAGTACAACTTCAGGTAGAACTGAAATGGTAAGGACCTGGCAACAAATGTGCCTCGGAAGGTAGAGCTGTAAACAAGGCTTAGTAAACAGAGCGACTGTGAGGCCATGAATTTGTCTAGTAGTTTTAAGACTGTAGACATTAATTTATTTGAAAGAAGTGATTATTTTTCTTATTAAACACTTTTGTATTAGAAACATACGGACCTTTGAGGTGCTTTGCTGTGTAGAGTGATGAGTTTGTCTTCTCATTTCTTTCTTTGGCATAAGTCATAAAAAAAGGATTCCCTATTAAATCAGAGCTCATTAAAAAAAGAACACTCTTCTAATTTGTAGGGATGCATCCCAAATATAAAACAGATGCTATGGTGTAACAGCTGTTTGAATGCTGGTATCATAACTTAGAGGGGCAAAATGACTGCAATAAGCCTATTCCCATTATAGCAAATCAGCTTATACTCAGACTTAGTTTCTTATAACATCTAAGGAAAAATATATGCTTTTGATGAAACAGGGTCGCTAAGAAATAATTTACCAAGAAAATGTTCTCACATTGTTTGTATCACATGAAGAGGATGCCATAATGCTAATAGACTGTGTTTTAGAATAACACCCTAAAGCCTTCCCAGTTTCTAATTAAACATAAATATGTGCACAATGGGTTAATCAGCATCTCCAAATAATCACCAGTAGAAATACACTTCCTCAGTTTTTTTTTAAATTCTATGTGTATTTGATGTTCATTTTTTCTTTAACAAAACATAATATTCAATTACGTCAGGTTTCTCTAAATAATAGGATATTGAGGAGGATTTTTTTCCCATTGTCCAGAATCAGTGGTATTGTCTGAAATCTGAAGGAACAGCTTTAAATTCACACATTCCAAAGGGAAAGCCACCAAGAAGCCACCTTCAAACTGGGCCAGCCCCTCCTCTTGGGATTTATAAAAAGACAATCTAATCTAGCTGCTATCCCATATACCACTAGCAGGGTTTCTCCTCTCATTCCCACCCTAACCTCTCAAGTTATCAGTGGCTGTGGGGGTGGGGGAGGATAGCATAGGCTATCCAGTCATCTGGAATATTTTGGCTTTTCTCCCCGTCCTGAGGAGGAAAGGAGGGAAGGCTTTCCGTTCTTCACCCCTGCCGTCTGTCCAGCAAAGTGAAGGCAGCTCTGAGAGAACCCCTGTTAAACATTGGGGGTGGTACCTGCAAAAAGGATCTTCTCATTCTTTGGTGAGAAGCAAGAAATGTTTTAGACACAGACTTACTGCTGTCCCCTTCACCCATCTGAGCAGGCAACAAGAGAACTGAAGGAAGTTGGCAGCAGGAAGAGACTTGGCATAGCCTGCCGTACTCCCTGTTTTGGCCTTGTAAAGATGTGAGAGTTTCCCAGGGCTCAAGTGGACAAACGGAAAATAGCTCAACTTGGTCAGGCAAGAGGCCATGCGGTGGTCATAGGGAGGGATAGGCAAAGGGCAGGCCTGGGACAGTCTCTTGCATTAGGAAGTGTGCGATAGAGACAGCTTTGCTCAGGACACACTGACGAGCTCCCACAAGCAGGAGTGAGGTTTAGCTGGTTTGCACCTGTATAGCTGTCCTAGTACTAAAACACTCCCTAATGTTGGTGAAAAGGCTGTGACCTACACCCCCCTGAGAACACTTACAGCAACTCTGCCAGCATCCCTGGGCTCCTTGATCCTTCCGGCAACTAGAGGGCACAGCAGGGGTCCTGCAAGACCCTGTGCCAGCCCTGAGATCACATCCCTTCTGATTGGTTGGCACCTCTGCCTGTTAAATATTTCATATATCATCCCTGCCCTTGGCATCCCCTAACAAGGTCATTCCGTCTTATTTAGAGCCAGCAGGAATAGACAAAAATAAATAAATGACCACGAGCAATTAGTTTTACCTCCACCATTCCTTCTGTCCTCTAAACAGGAAGGCCTTGTGAATGAAGGGCCAGGAATCAGCCCGAAAACAAACCACTAACCCTTCCCCAACTTTATTCCGGTGAGCTGGCAGGGGAGGACGAGTAAATGAGGAGACCTCCCAACGATAGGAGTTGTTGCTTGCAAGAAATGTTTTCTCTTTGTGAGAAGCGAGAAATATTGTAGGCATGTCTTTAGTGCTGGGTTCTACACCCACTTGAGCAGGGAAAAAGAAAATGGGAGATGTTGTGGCAGCAGATACTCTCAGTTTTGGCATTGTAAGGACCCCACCTGATTTCCCAGGACCCTAGAGCCAGGAGATGCTCCGGGGAAGGCCCTGCTTTGGGCATTCGATAGGCATTTTAAACTGGGTGGATTTTTTTTAATAGCTAAAAGTGACCTGAAAATTCTGGGATCTGTTCCAGGTGTTTTTCAGGAACCTACTCCAGTTCGGAAGGGAGATTTTGCATAGTGCTGCTGAGGTCAGAGAATTGAGAAAAACATAATCCTTTATGTTTGAACCTCCACGAGGCTCATACTGTTCAGTTAATCAGCTACTTAATTGGCGCCGGCACTATAATGTATTGTGTTTCCTTTCATTTTGAAATTAATTAGGTCAGGTCATATAAAGATCAGCAAAGCAGCAAAGTATCCCCCAGGGATCATTGTTACTATAGTTGCTATAGTTAGAGGACCCTCAGAGACATCATTACTTGTCCATTTTAGGGAAGAAAATTCTACACTTGAAGACCTCTGGTGCCAAAATTGCCTGGTATAATAAGTGGAGCAGTTTATTCATTTATTCTAACGAACAATAATTATTGAGGGGCTACTGCATGCCAATAACTGAGGCTGCTGAAGCTTCCCATATATGGATATACAAGTATTTTTATTATGATGAGCTAACCTGGGAAAGTTCTCAAATCAGTGGTGTAGGAGTGCTTTACCTCCAGGTACAGTTTTGGTGTTTTGGAGTACCAGTAGGGGCTGGAGCATAAGCCTAAAAATAGTACTGCTTGTTTTACTTCTAATTTTTCTAAAATAATTTTATGTGTTCTTTAACATAGATTATAAATTTTATAGCTTATTTTATCTGCAAGTTTTATTATCTAGCCTAAGATAATAATGACTTATTAGCTACTCTGTGCTAGACACTTTTCCAAGTACCTTACTCACTGAATGCTCACACCCATCCTGCAAAGTAGGTACTGTTTTCATTCCTCTTTTACATATTAGAAAACAAAAAGAAAGAGAGGTGTTGGGCCTTGCTTTAAGGTCACGTGGACAGAAAGTGTTCAGGCCTCAGTAGAAACCCAGGCAGCCTGTCTCCACAGCCTGGTCTTCTCAATACTGAGCTCTTCTGTCACCTTGTTTTAAATGATTATAAAAGACTGCAAGTTGCTTGTTATAGGAGTTTGCCTGTTATAGAAGGCTCTATGGAAGACAGCTTACTCCTACACATATGTGTACAGCTGAATAAGATGACAGATTGTTCAAGACTGCTGTCAAAAAGAGGGAGCTGATATTTCCTTTTTAAAAAGTGTCTGTACTGTTGAAACTGCCAAGATACATCTTACCCACTTAAATAAGTAAGTGCCTGCCTGCGACTGTACTTTGGAAGGTACCGTGAGGGCTGTAGGAAATGACGGTGTATGACTCCTGTCCTCCAGGAACTTGGGCTTCAGTTGCGAAGAGGTAAGATACAAAAAGTTAAGGGATCACAAATAAACCAATTGTGCCTGTGGTTTCGCAGGGAGCCATGCACTGAAATGACGAAGCTCCACTTGAGCGATACACAAAGTGAAGGTGTGAAGCCAGGAAAAGGGAGACATGAATATGAGCCAGATGTTCTGGGGACCCAGCACAGGGGGAGA